ATTTATTTATTTATTTATTTATTTATTTATTTATTTATTTTTAAGGCAGTGTTTCATGTATCCCAAGCTGGCCTCAAATTCATGATATAGCCAAAAACTACCTTGGACTTGTGGATCTCTGTCTTCTAACTCCCCAGTGCTGGGATTTCAGGTATAGGCAACCATGCCCAGTATATGGCATGGCCCCTGAGTTTTTGCATGCTAACCATCTCCCTGGGCCCTCTAGCTTTTAAAAGCCGACTAGACCATTTATTTGTTTATTTACTTACTTATTATTTTGGGTAGTGCCAAGAATCGAACCTAGAACCCCACCCCACGAATGCTAATAAACACTCATACCTTTCAGTTCTCTGTGGATTTTTGGTTGGTTGTTTGTTTTGAGACAGAGTCTCATGTGTCTCAGATTTGGACTCTCTACATAACCAAGGATGACCACAAACACCTGATCATCGGGCCACCACATCTCGGTGCGTGGATCAGTGGTGTATACCACCACACCTGTCTCTCTGGACAGCTTCAAAACTCCTGATGTCCCAGCCCTAACCTCCAGCAGGTAGATATGAATCTTGGTTTTGTTTGCTTCTAATTCCTTAGATGATTCTAGTAGCCAAATTTGAAACCGCTACTATATTTCACTGTTGCTGACCTCTTTGGGGTATAAAAATAAATAGTCTGTTAAAGGCTGAGGCTCCATCCACAAGGCACTGTTGTTGACCCCATTCAGAAGCCCCACACTGAACATCTTGCTGTCTTTTTTTTTGTTTCTCTGTGTAGCTTTGGAGCCTATCCTGGCACTCACTCTGGAGACCAAGCTGGCCTCGAACTCACAGAGATCTGCCTGCCTCTGCCTCCCAAGTGCTGGGATTAAAGGTGTGTGCCACCAACGCCAGGCTACATCTTGATGTCTTAATCAGTAACAAGATTCTAGAGAAGGTCCAAAGCTACCCAGAGAAACCCTGTTTCGAAAAAAAAAAAGCAAAACAAAACAAAAAAAAACCCCAAAGATTCCAGAGAAGGACACAAACACCAAAGCTTGGAGAAGCAAGCTTCTTGACTGTGTGACCACGTTAAGCTGTGCACTTAGCATCATGTTATGAGAAACCGGTTTTTCTAACAGAGGTAGATAGCCTGACAAGGACTGTGTTTCCTGAACCCACCCTCCTTCTCTTTTGCACCAGTTAGCCAATCCCATCACTCTGTGAAGTTGAGTTCCCACCAATAGCTTGAGCTCCAGTCACCCACCACCTACCTCAGGGATAAAAGATGGATGCCATCTTGGCCAAGTGCGCTTGCTAGACCAGTTTGGGTCTTGGCAGACCCTTTTTGCAAGACTTGCCTTGCTGAGCTAATTTTACATTGTCTGTATGTTCCTTTGTGCAGCACTGAGATCACTCTTTGATTCTAACAATGTCTCCCCAGTTCCATGAACACTGGACACCTATACGGAGTCTGTAAAAGGGTCTTTCCTATTGCTGGAGGTTTCTTGTCCTGCCAGGTCCTGCCCTTCTTCAGCCCCAAATAAACATACGGACACTATATTAGTTATAAAGCTGTTGGCTGATGTCTCAGGCTTCTTACTTGCTAGCTTTCTCTTAATTATTAACCCATAACTACTAATCTATGTATTTCTACATGGCCTTATTTTACCAGAGAACACCTGGAGCATCCTATTCTCCCAATCTCTTGATGGCATCTCTTCAGGGTCTCTCTCTGCCTACCTTTCCCAGAATTCTCCTCATCTCCTAGTCCTGCCTCTATTGGTCAAACAGAGTTTTATTCATCAACCAATAAGACAAACATATATACAGAAGGACCTCCCCCATCACTTCCCTCTCTGCCTATAGATTTTAGGAATCCTATCTGTAGCTGTGTAGGTTTTGACACACCGTTGGTCTATAAATGCCTGTTGATGTTTGGGATAGCTTAGTTCTAGCTGTGGAAGCTCTTGTGACAGCCTGTGGTGTTATTGAGAGGTAGGGCTTAGTAGAAGGAATAGGCCATCAGGGGCATGGTCCTGGAGGGATCTGTGACCCTGACCTTCCTCTGTCTGCTTTCTTTGCCTTGCAGTTTCCTTCAATGGACCCTCGGTTCACAATGCTTGCTACATGTCTACATTCAGCAGGGCCAAAAGCAGTCTTTCTGCCTTTTATGCTAGTTTGCACTGGCATTTTATCATGGTCACAGAAAGCAAACACAATGATGCTAGGCAGTTACTCAACATGCCTGCTAAAAATGGTTTCTGGCACTTGGGAAAAGCTACAGAAGAAGAGAGAGATAAGATAGCCATAAATAGGAGAGTTAGCCACCAGGGCAAGGAAGGCGGGATAGAACTGAAGGCTCAGTTGGTGGTAAAATTGACAAGGACACCAGAAACTCAGAGGAAGAGGAGTCAGTGCCCCCCAGAAAGGGACAGAGAAGTTTCACAGCAAAGATACCCCATAGAGGGGGGAGAAGGTTTTGCTGTTGTCATCTGTTTGGTTTTTTTGTTGTTGTTGTTTTTGTTTTTTGTTTTTTTGTTTTTTTTTAAGACAGTGTCTCCCTTTATATCTCTGGTCGGTCTGGAGCTGGCCATTTCAATCAGGCTGGCCTCGAACTCACAGAGCTCTTCCTGTCTCTGCCTCCCAAATGCTGGGATCAAAAGGTGTGTGCCGCTGCGACCAGCCAAAGAAGTACACTTTTGAATGCTCGTCCCGAGATAGGAGAGGAAATTTTAAAAAATTAAGATTATCTCTGAAGACATGGTGTTGAGGTTGTGTAGTCAATGGCTAGGCTATCTACAAGCACAGTGACCCTGGGGTCCATCCCTAGTGCAAAACAGACAAAACCCAACAAAACAAATACAGCCCCTTGTGAGGAACAGGGGTAGGTGTCAGCCACAGGGAGGATGAGAAGGGGTACAAAGCATCCGCCATCTATGAAGCAAACACAGCCCTCCCTCTTCAGACAAGGGGACAGACATACAGAGTCTCAAAGGAAGAGACAGTATGGCACACATACCTGTGACGAGGCCTACACCAAGGGTAGAGCAGCACAGGCCTGCAATTCTAGCACTCATGGGGTGAGGCA